TTAGGAAAATGTAAACCAGTCAATTAGAGTATTTAGTTATCTATACTGGGAACAATCCCGGTCTCTTTACCACTCCAGCTCCCCACCCCTGTGAAAGTTAGGCCAATTTTTCCTTAAAATCTTTCTTTAAAATTTCATCTTAGAAATTTAATTGGCTCAGTGTACTAAAGGTACAAGCTATTTGCATCACTTCGTGGTCGACTAATTATGAAAGAGCCAAGAAAAGGTTCCTGGTGAGCTCTGATGGGCTCTCACTGGTAGACCATGATGGGCAACCCAGAGACAGGGGAGCTTTGCCCAGTTGAATCAGCTCAGCGTGTCCTCAGTATATATTCTTGTTGAATATCCTTCTCCTGAAAGCTGAGTAAATCACCTGTGCGTGTCTCATTTCATTTCAATACCAGACACAAATGACGATGGGACTGGCCTGAGTCAGGCCTAGCTCAGAACAGCACCCCAGATACTCTATGTGATTGTGTGCAGTACATGAGACCATGCCAGATAGCTAGGGAACAGAAGCCTTGAAATATATGGAGAGAAATTATTCAGAGGCTAGGAAGTAACAGTTCTCTCTCTCAGCTGAAGATAGAACATAAAACAAAGAGCCCAAAATCATGATGTTCCATATTTCTCAAGTAAGGTTCTGTAACCTCCTTCTCCAAAGGCCTCTTTCATCAAGGTCTCCATCTATCAATAAGGAATGGTTAAATCATGGACCTACATAAGGGAAGAATGATGACTAGCTGACCTTTTGAGGATCCTTTCAATTCAAGTGTTTGATGACGACAGCACAGCTTTTCTAAATACTAGGATGTTAACACAGGAACAGCACAATCTGGGAGACCTTATGGAGTGCCAGGGCTGATGAAGGCTCCATCAATTCTTACCCATGCAGTTTCTTAACTGCTTCCAAACAGCATTTCCTAACAACTTGGTCCCAGTCAAACTGTCCTAGGAAGCATGTGCTTCTGTTTGGTTACTTATTTCATTATTTGTTCCATCCCCCAAACAAATACCAAAAGATGTACTAACTCCAGGAACAAGACAACACAGCCTGACCCTGGAGAAACAAAGATGGGGAAACAAATAGATGCTTCATTCTTTTTCCCTTGCCCCAGATCAGCTGCCTAGTTTGCCCTCATCACATGGCAGGCTCCAAGGCTGTCTGCCTCCCTAGGCTTGTTATGAGGTTAGTGCTTCATGAATCTTAAAGTGTTATAGATTCTTATATAACAAAAATTTGATGCAGCGAGGTAGGTACATTAGGTAAAGCATTGAACTTGGAGTCACAGACTTGGGTTGAAATCAGGCCTGAGACATTTATAAGTTGTGGGACTGTGGCCAAGTCATTTAACTCCCCTCTGCCTCAGTTTCCTAATCTGTAAAATGGAGACAATAATAACATATATCTCCCAGGGTTGTTGTGATAATAAAATGAGATGATATTTGTAAAGTGCTTTGAAAACCGTAAAGGATTTGTATATAAATGTTAGCTGATATTATGATTTGGGTTGAGAGAATTCTGCTCTGCTTCTATGATGAAAATGATTCATACCTCTGGCCTCCCTGAGGCAAAATAATAAGAACAGGTCACACAGGTGCTGATGAAAATGTTTGTGGGTATAACAGCAGTCTAATCCCAAGTGGCAGAGCTATAACTAGGGCAGGGTGATCAGAGCTTTAACCCAGGGTGCTGACAACAATTGTATTCCTCCAATAGGTAGGGAAAACTGAGCTTGGCATCTTAGCAAAAATAACTAGTTAAAATAGGAAGTCTCTTCCTTCCTCCATACTTCCAGTCAGTAGTCAACACTCAAGAAGACTTGTTATCTAGACTAGTATCACCCAGCTCCCTCCTCTAGCACTGAATCAATACCATTCTTGAGGTTTCCTGGATTCTCTGTCTCTCCCACTTATGACGCAATGTCCTGGAATGTCCCTTGACAGGGAGGGCCTTGTGTCCTGAAGTCTCTCTCCAAGGACTCTCCCCATACCCACCCACTCCCAGTTGAATTTGTCTTAATAATTTGACTTGAGGGCACCTTTCCTGCTACTTGCCTAGGGTACATTTCATGGTGCCTACTCCTGGATATTAGAATTGCAAGTTATGACGCAGATGGAGTGGATGGCAGTATTGGGAAAAATAACTAAATATCCACAATGCCAAGGTCTCCGGGAAGTTAGAAAGGTCACAGAAGCTTGAGCCAAGTAAGACCTAAGTTTCTCAGAACTATATTGCATAGCAACAAAATACTCTTCTATACGATTCCTTTCCACTCTAAAATGGATTCTCAACAGAGTACCTGGCTTATTAGCAAAGTCACTCTTATCCATCCTAAAAGATCATCTAACCCCACCCCCTCATTTAAGTAAACAAGCCCAGGAAGGTGGAGATACTTGTAATAATAATAAATCACAAGGTTTGCAAAATGCTTTTCTACCTGAGACACTTCAAAAAGACTGTCACAACAACCCCATGAGGTAAATAAGTAAAGTCCTA